CTATAAGGATGCTGCAGGTTTTTCCTCCCAAGGTGGAGAACCTTGCATTTTTCAGTGTTAAACACCATCAGGTTCTCATCTGCCCATTTGCTGAGCCTGTCCAGGTCAGCCTGGATTGCCCTCCTGTCCTCAGGTGTGTACGCTTTGCCCCAAAGTTTGGTGTCATCGGCGAACTTGGCCAGTCTGCTTCTGACTCCAATGTCCACATCATTAGACATTGAACAATATGGGTCCAAGGAAGATGTTGAACAATATGGGTCCAAGGACAGAGCCTTGGGGGACCCCACTGGTCACAGCGCACCAAGACGATTGGCTCTGTGATTGGACCCAGAGGGTGGTGGTTGACAGAAGTCAATTTCCCAGCCAGCGGATCGTGGTGGACCCAAGGCCACAATTGGCCAGTTTTGCCAAGAGATGATCATGGGATACCAGATCAAAGGCTTTTTTGAAGTCAAGATATACAACATCAATCTCTTCTCCCTTGTCCAGGTGATAGGTTACCTGGTCGTAAAAGGAAATGAGATTGGTCAAGCAAGACCTACCCGCAACAAACCCACTTGCAGTCCTTGCTTCTAACTTGGAAGTCTTCCATCCAAGACCCAGATTGGCTTAGCATGTGAGATTTGCTAGGCGCATAGCACCAGGCTTAAAATAAAGTGAAATAGCAATAGCACTTTCCCTTCAGCCCACCTCTATCCCTTGCAGTACATGAAACATTATAGACCCTATTCTATTATCAGCAGCTGACAGTTGAAGCATTTTTCACATATGATTTATCAGCAAAAAGTTCTATGGTTTGTATCTACTTTATTGCGCTCTTCAATTATTGCTCAGCAGAGCTACACAGTAAATTATAGCACAGTTGGGGCTTTTTCAGTGTCACAGTATATCATTAGAAGATTTAGTACTGATTATACTGGAGTCTTCGTACAAAGCAAGATTACAGTTAGCAACAGGAAAAGATTGATGTCAGGGATCCCAAATTTCCAGTGAAATCCTTTTACAGGAGCATTGTACATTGCTGTCACAGATTTTATGCTATCTGTATCTAAACCTGGCGATGTCTGAGCATCTTAACACCATGACATTTTGGTACAGCAGGATGCACTGTGGCTTCTGGCGGGGATGGGGAACTAGGACAGTGAATGGAGTGAAAACCACAGGAGCACATGGATTCTCTTAGAGGCATATCTATTTTCATGTCTACCCTATAAAGTGCTTGATCCTCATGTGTTATGCTAGGGAGTGACTGGCTACTGCCATCCAAGACATTAAAGACAAGTTGGGAACAGGTATGCAACAGACAGCAAAGTCATACCAGACAGCCATGGCTGGGCAGAACTAGCCTAGCACCTTCCTTAGAGCCCTTGCAGATTCAGTCCTGCTCAGCACTTCTCACCCTATCTGCACAGCATGCAGTAGCTGCTCTAGGCAGGAACAATAGGAATGATCCCCCACGTGAGCTCCCTCCCCATCCAGTTCTTACCACCAGAAGGAGAGTCTTGCCGCTGTCTTCAGTGGATCCTTCAATTGCGACTGCAGTTGGGCTGTCTTCACTTGGACCCTTTGTAAGGCAAGTTGGGCACCTTGGGCACATGGGGATGTAGATATTTCAGTCTTACTTGCACATTAGCTTTCTTGAGCATGAATCCATGTGGCAATGGGACATGGAGAAAGGATCAGTTCCACTAAGGCTTGGAACAACCATGGCTTTACTGCTTATGTCCCCACTCCTAAAGCTAGGACATGATTTAGCCCCATCCTTTAGTTTGACCCAAGGCTGCAAATTAAGCTTCAGGATGTGCCTTTGCAGCTTATGCTTGCTGCTCATATCAAGCATCCAAAGCTTGACCACAGGGTAGGTGAAGGCAAAACAATGTAGGCACCCAAACCATTCCAAGCAAGCCCATTAGAAATCCTCTCTGGGGTCTCTGCAAACACCCGGTTTCACACTGCAGACCTGGCCCTGCCTCAAGCTCACTGCCCTTTTGTACATTCAGGCTTGCAGGGACAAAATAATTGTGGATGCAGCTGATGATAACGCACTTTGCAGACAAAAAAAAATGAGCTAGTTCCATGCTAGCAATGGAGCTCGTGGCTGTTTTGGAGCTCGCTGCCAGAAGGAAGTGTGAGAAATCTGGCCCTCATGATGAGAGACAGACAGACAGACAGCTGGGAAGTGAACACAGGCTCCTGAGTCAGGAGCTCCTGAGAGCTGTACTGGTCTAATCCTCAAGCTGATAAATGCGAAGACAGTTCAATGTGATAAGCAAAAAACTTTGCTTTAAAATGTTCTAGCTTAATCTTTCTCGTTCATGGCATGTTAATTGTGTGAGATGCTTAGACCTGGGCAGAAATGCAGTTATGTTTAAGCACTAGTACAAACCATGATGGTCATCATCAGATCTCAAGACATCCCAAGGTACCTCGGCCCCTGGTTGAGAAGACATTGAGCTAGTTGTAAGCAAAAAGGTTAATTTTTAATGCTTTTAAAAAAAAAGGTACGAGGTTGATTCTTACATGTCCCTATGGCCTGAAGAAAACACAGCTCACAACTCAGTCTCTTGTGGGCTAAGATCAACTATAGTTGCTGCATGGGTCTGATACCAAAGCCAAGATGGATTTAAAATAGCACTGTGTAATGAGGGGTTCACCCTGGTGCAAATGTGGACAGGATTCCCTCCAAACGTGGTACAATCACCTACCCTGTAAATCGTCAAGACGAGACTGGACGGTCACCTCGCTGGGGTCACTTGACCCCGGTTGTCTTTCCCACCTGGTGCAGGGGGCTGGACCCGATGATCTTCCAAGGTCCCATCCAGCCCCTAACAGCTATGAATCTGTGCATCATCGGGCTGACCACTGGGCCATGGAAAAGCTGTGATGTGATTACTGAATATTCAGAGTCTGTTGGCAGAGCACACTAAGAAAACAAACTGAATTATAGCCTGGCTCAAGTTTCCACAACATTTGACCTCTGAGACATCACTTAAGAGTATATCAAGCAAGACAGCCTGACTAACAGTATTAGGAACTGAAGAATTGCTGATTTTGATGGCGAGAGCCTGAGGCTGGTATAATGGGCTGGAGCGTGACTTGTGCCTTGGTCTACACTTGAAAACCAGCTTATGACCAAAAGCAGTATTGTGGCTAAGGCAAAATAAGGTCCAATGTGGGAACACACAGTTCTTACTGTCCGTTCCCCGTAGCCCCCAAATGTTAGTGCTGTTTGCAATGCTACAGCTCCTAGACATTTCCTCCAGGGCCATAGGTCCATTGTCATGGAGGCTCTTCAAATGCATGGCAAGGCACAGCTCCTGCCATGAAGGGCTGTCCTCCACCAGCCTAGGCATCTAGAAAGGCCCTCATCAAAAAATATGATCGCAGCTAGCACCTCCTAAGCAAAAGAAAAAGCTGGGCTTGAAAGGAATCCCATTCCCCAAGCCCTGACCCAGGGACCAACACACATCGGGAGCCTGGTGGGTCCTAAGCTGTACCTGTTTGAGGCCGGCTTGCTCTCTAGGACTGCGGTGCTTTTCCATTTGAATTCCTTGTCAAAGAAAGGTGGGGACTTCAATCATTTGTAGATTAGCTTCAGTTTGAGAGGGCCAGTTCAAAAGCCATCTGTGATAGTTACTTTTACTGCCCAAGCCAGCAAGACAGTGCCTGCCAAGCTGGGGGGCACACTGGTGTCCCTACAGGGAAGACGAGGTAACCCCCACCCCCACAGGGGCTGGAAGAGGAAGTGGTAAAGTTAAAAAAGGCTAGTGATGGGAGCCCTCACATCCTAAGACTCCATTTTCATGGCCAACCCATGACTGTTCCCTCGGGCTTAATGTCCAAAAACAGGTTTATCCTTAGTTTCCTCATGTCTTTAATTGCATCTCTATACATCCCTCCACTTAACTCTCTCAAAAGGGCTCTAAATGCTGATTTCTCCCCCCTCATCATGCCCCCAGCCCCTCTCATCCCAGGTAGCTGTCCAATTGCCCGTCCTCTTGCATTACCCCCAGGACGTGCTGCACAAACCCTGCCCTGCCCATGGGTCTGGCCAGCCCCTACCTACTCTTAGCCTGCTCACTCACACCCCACCCCTCACTCTAGCTGCATGCCAGTGGGAGTGGGCAATGGCTGGGGAACGAAGTTGTGCTTATCTAGAGGTATGAAGGAAGGCTTGTAGCAGAAGGCAGGTGAGCCTGGGCACATCCCTACCAGACTAGGGGCTCCACGTGCTCCAGTTCCCACTTCCCCTGAACCCACCTGGATGCCCCACCTGTAGATCCCACAGAGTTGCACTGGAAACTGGTCAGTCTGGAAAGGGCTGCCTTGTATTGAACAAACTCATCTCCCTAGAAGCGCAAATGTTCTTAAGACTTCCAACCAGTTATCCGGGATTTTTTTTTTTGGTTACATGTCCAATGTTTCATTGTCCCATGGTATGTCAGACCATCGACTAGCCCAGAAGCAGCTGTGCAGCCATCTCTACCCAGGCTGTAATGGACGGTGTGAGAACAAAAACAACCTTTGGACATTGTGCCTGATTGCTGTGAGGCTGGTCTGCATGTACAGCCTTGGAGACGGTGAGAGGGGAATCCGAGTCTAGCTATGTGACTCCCATAGTGGCTGAAGTCCTGTTCCCACCCATAGATTTAGGTAGGAGGTAAGATAGAAACAATACCCAACAGCAATGGAGATCAAGGTCAATACAGCTCCAGAATAGTACTGGCAATTATGAGCAGGCAGGTTAAGTGACTTGCCCAGTATCCCAGAAGTTTGCAGCTGAGCAAGCCTGTATCTCCTGAAACCCAAGAAGCAGAAGCCCAGTCTATAAGAGCACCCCTTGGGACTGCTCATGCCCCCCTCAACCCCAGATATGTGGTAACGTGTGCTGGAAAGGAACGGGTCCTGCACCTCAGACCTGGATGCTTATAGCTACTTTAGTTGCATCTACCCAGGCCCAGGCACTAACAAAGTCACTCTGCACAGGATCAGATCAAGTGTACATTTTTATTTTTTAATGGAACATAAACTCCTTTAGAAAAAACATTCATCTGGATGATAACACCCATAGAAAAAAACACCAATCTCGTGTTTGTTTGTTTGTTTTTTTAATTTGGCATTTGTTATTTGCATTTATATTAAAGCAAAGTGCATCTTTCTTATTTTTTCTCGTTTATACACATTGCACAATACATAAATAATGATGCTTATAAAACGTCTTTATATTTACAAGTAATAATATATTTATATATAACATAAAATACAATTTTTCTTTAATAAATCTCAGGGTTGTTTGTTTTTTTTAGGAGTCCTTTTTTTTTGTTGTTTTGTTTTATTTCCAAAGCACTACAATGCTAAAGTTCCAATGAGAATGCTCTCTTGTTCATTTAAACCTTTATATTTAGAAAAATAGCTTATGTTAAGGTCTAAACATGCTCATTGAGCTAAGAACAGTGTAAAAGTATCATACGTGCGTATGAATTCAAGACGAAATGAAAGAATGACTGCATTTCTGGATACAAATGGTACCGTTATAACCTGGTCAAGGCAGGTTATGATGGACCAAATAGTCTGAATACTTTTTTCCTGTTTGTTATCGTTTTCTTTAGGCTTATATTTTCTCACCAAGTCTGCATCTCAGCTCAAATTGAAAAGCGTGGGCCATGCATGTTTTTCTTTTTTTTTTTTCCTGTATCAAGAAACGATAAAAAGCACTGAAAGAATGGGCATGCTCCTTCCAAAACCCACGCTCCCACGATGGACTGTCAGCATAACACAGTGGCAAGACGTGATCTTAAATAAACCAACAAGCATACACAAAATAAAATAAAATAAAATAAAGAAGGCTAAGTAACTTATTAGCAAGGTTTTCACTTCACTGCGTTCACTCCCGGTGCTGCCTGTGTGCGTGGGCACGTACATTCGTTGTGTGTCAGTGGCAACATGGCGTTGTCACTGTGGGGGCAGTGGGAAAGGGGGGAGAGGGTCTCAGTTTGACTTCACATGAGCAAAGTGTGCCATGCTTTGACAAGTAGCATCTGGAATGTGCCACCTCAAGGCAGAAACTAGAGAGAGAGATGGCCCTTGTGTGTGCGAGAGAGGGGGAGAAAGAGCGAGGAGAGAGAAAGAGGGCACGTGCACACTCCTCGTCACAAAAGGGAAGACGAGATGTCTTGCAGTAGTAGAACTCAGGTCTGTATAACATCTAGGTATCTTGTTTTGGTATCCGAGAGCGGGAGCTATAACAAACGGCAAGTAACTCCGAATGCCACTCATCATATAGGGGAATAATTTCAGAGGCATGAAATGATTATCTGATGTAATCCCCTCCCACACCTTCTCCTTCCGAGTTGTTGGTCATTCACACTTTTAAAAAAAATATATATATATTCATCAAAATACCAAGGCAAAAAAAAAAAAATCTTTCCATAAGCTATTTCTCAAAACAGAAAAAAACAAAACAAAAAAAACCAAAACAAACAAAAAAGTTTGCATGAAAAGCAAGCACTCAGAAGGAAATATTAGCAGCAAAGTAGTTATAAATGTCATGAGTCCACTCTGTCTCGAGTCATCGGTTATTAAAAATAACCTCCAACCAGCACGGGCAACTGCTGATAAACTGTCTTGTGTAGCACTGGCCCCAGCCCTTCACAAAGCTGATCTGAACAGTAAAGCCGGTCCATGGTTGCTGCATGAACTCATGGTCGTTAGGCCTCTGTAAGCTGTACGCCTTCTCATAGTCAAAAGCCTTGATGGAAAATCCTGGAAACACTTTGTGAACCAGCAACGTCCTGGAGTCGGGGTTGTCCAGTGTGGCCGACTTGATAAAGATTGGGTAACTGCTGCGGTTGTATACCCATACGCCGTCCACTTCCTTGGTCAGCTGGATGCCGTAACCAATTTTGCTGCGGACTTTCTGCACCAGCTGGCTTTTGTTGTCTGAATTGAGCTGTCCGAGGCAGAAACCGTTCCCCTGAGGTAGATCATAGAAGATATCCAGGGAGGGCTCTTGGACAGAATACAGCCGACCCACGCGCGTTTTCTCTTCCCAGTATGCCACCACGCACCAGTGTGACCGATCCCCCGGCTCCTGAAGAACTTGGGAATCTAGAGAAAGGGGCAGAAAAAATGGCAAATGTAATAAAGCAGGGATAATGTAATCTAATAAATATAAAGCACTTATGGTACACTGCCTCCAGAAAGGTTGTTAAAGCACACAAGAGATCCAAGGAAGACTGACACACGTCCCACACTAGAGGAAGACAACCCCCCTCCAAATCTGTGGCCATCTACCCAGGGGGTAAAATTCCTTCCAACTATCCTTAGCCAAAGCTTTCAGAGGTGAATTCTGGATGCCCAACCCAAGATAACCAAAAGGACCCACATTTTCCAAAAATGCTATGGACTTGTCCACTAGAAGTACAGCTCCTTGAAGTATCTCAAACTGGACCTACAGAAATGGATATGTCCCAAATAAGTTTGGGACATCCCCCAAATGTGGCAGGAGGCCTTTGAGATGATTCTCTTTGTTAGGTTCCGCTTCCCAAAAAGTAACATAGGCTCAGATTCCCATGACGTATTTAGACACCCATTTGGTGCGTATTAGGTATCTTCATGTCTCTGAAGACCTGGGGGCTTCACCCAAGTCACTTGCCCAAAACCACTTAGATAACATTTTCAAGAGCCTGTAACCTGTAACACCCGAGCCCAGGTCATAATCCCTCCGAGGCAGATTTCCAAGGGTTCTTTAGGTGCCTCAAGACACAGCAAGGCACCTGGCCAGGTTTTCAGAAGCAAGTTAGGCATCTACCTTGATGCCCACCTACTTCAGTGCTAATTGTTTTCAGTGGGAATCAGGCTCCCAATCTGCTTTGGCACCTTAGAAAAACTCCATTAAGTACCCGTCTGCAACTTTAAGCACTTTAATACCTTTGAAAATGTGGCCCTTCAGGCACAGCACCCAGGAGAGAAAGAGGAAGAGTCAGCAGTGTGCTCACACGCGCGCGCGCACACACACACACACACACACTGTGTTTGCAGCACAACCATTCCAGTTAAGCATGTTTAATAATCAGCCAAACCATGTCTCCACTGTGGGGTTGTATCGCTCTAATGACGCCAATGGGGTTAAAATTTCCAAGTAGCGTGTTTGGGGCATGGCCTAGTGAACAGGGACTTTAGGAACTCCTCTGACACACGCCTGCTCCTTCCCATCTCTAGCCTTGTTAGCAGCCCTCGAGCGTAGATAAGAACAATGTACACAGCTGGGGCATCCCAGACAGCAGTTAGTTGATGCCCATGGATATGTCTTCACTGCACAATGAAACTAAGCTCTTACCTGAATGCTGCACTCACCTTACCCCATATCTACAGGGTCTTCATAAAGTCCTTGTGCACCGCCTAAGTTATTAAAGTTTAAAAGTGCACAAGGACTTTATGAAGACCCTGTATGTACAAAACCCAGCGACTCCCAAGCATGGTGGTACGTTATACCTGGACTTGCCAGCCCACACTGGGGCACAGACTAAAGCTCACAGATGGGGGTCCTGTAACTCAAGCAGGACTTTGTCAAGCGGGCACTTGCATCCCAGCAGGCTACCCCAGGTGCCGATCACCAGGCATAACTCCGCAGTGAAGACGCTCTCTCTGAAGTCTTCTGAAGCCGAAAACTGCTGAGCGCTGAACCTACAGACTTCTGAACGCAGCAACTGATTCCCTCCTCACCCTCAAACCCTAGCTGCAGATAATCAATTTTGGCAACAGTAAATCAATGCAGATAACGTAATCCTGGAGTCGCTAATCAGCTGCAGAAATCTTCTCTATGTGAAGTGTGGGTAAGCCAGGAGGAGGCCAAAGGTACCCACGGTCTCGCATGCATCGTACATCACTCTGCTCTGAAAACACTTTCAACCAGATGAGCTTTGCTTCATGTATAATTCCCCCCCACCCCCAAAAGGGGAGCCATAAAAGGAGAGTTAAATATGGCTTAGCA